GGCCAGGCCAGGCCCCCCCCCCCCACCCCCACCCAAAAACACACACGCACACACTCGTGCCCCCTCAAAAATAACGAGTGCATGACGGCCCTGCTAAGGGGCCCAAAGTGTGCCAAGAAAACATCCCCCACACCAATACACCACCATCAGGTTGAACTGTTGAGCCAATGCCTATTGTAGTCTAACTTTCCTGTTATTAGCTGACTGAAGTGGCACTCAGTGTGCTCTTCTGCTGCTGCAGCCTATCTGCAGCAAGGTTTAACATGTTACATGTTCAGAGATGCTTTGCTTTTCTACATTCGCTGGTATTAACAAGCGCTTATTTGAGTTTCTTTAGACTTTCTATTAACTTGAACCAGTCTAGCCATTTTCCTCTGACCTCTGTCATCAACAAGGCATTTTCACACAGATCTGCCGCACACTGATTTTTTTCTTTTTCTTTTCAGACCCTTCTCTGAAAACATGTTTTTTCATGAAAATGCCAGTAGATCAGCAGTTTATGAAATACTCCAGCATGTCTGGCACTAACAATCATGCCACATTCAAAATCACTTAAATCACTTAATCACTTTTTTTTTCTTCCACATTCTGATGCTTGGCTTAAAATTCAGCAGATCCTCTTGACCCTGTCTACATGGCTAAATGCATGCTGTTATATGATTAGCTTATTAGACATTTGCATTAATGACCTATGGAACAGGTTTACATGAAGTGGCCAGTGAGTGTACATGTATATTTTAAACAGAAAAATTTAAATACCTCAGTATGTTGAGCTGACAGTTTGGACTCTTCAGTCCAGCACAGAGCAGTTTCACTCCTGAATCCTGGAGGTCATTGTTACTCAGGTTCAGCTCCCTCAGGGGGGAGTCTGGTGATTGTAGAGTTAAAGCCAAACTTTCACAACACTGATCAGTGAGATTACAGCTGGCCAATCTAAACAGGGTAAAATAATTCATTACATACACACTGTGTGAACAGAAAATAATGTCTCATGTTTCTTAGAAGAAGGTGTCTGCATATAACACGAATGTAAAATGTTTACATCTCACTGTGATACTCAGTTATCTTGTTTAATAGTTATGATAACAACCTCATATGTGGGATAAATTAATGGCCACATTATCACCTTGTTTTCATCCATTTTTTTATGTATTTTAATAGCTCTTGACCATAAAGCACTCATGAATTACAGTAAGTGATTACAAGTGGAAGAAAACTTGAATTATATAAACACAAAAACACATGAAAGAATCTGCTAGCTGTATTTATAAAACTAGAATATATATATATATATATATATATATATATATATATAATCACACATTATTATTAAAATTTGATTCAGTGTGAAAGCCAAACCTCAGTATGTTGAGTTGACAGTTTGAACTCTTCAGTCCAGCACAGAGCAGCTTCACTCCTGAATGCTGCAGGTGATTTTTACTCAGGTCCAGCTCTCTCAGGGAGTTTGATGATTGTAAAACGGAAGTAACAGTGTTACAGCACTGATCAGTGAGTTTGCAGTCAGCCAATCTAAACAGGGTAATGAGAAATAATTCATTACATACACAATGCATAGCTAGAAATTGATGTTTGAGAGCATTTGATGCATTGTCTCATGTTTTTGATAAGAAGGTGTCTGCATAGAACATGAATGTGAAGGTTACATCCCAATATTGTATGAAAGAAATGATAACTTCATATGTGGAGTAATTGATGATTTATTAATCACCACATTATCATCATGTTTGTCACGAATTCGGTCCATGGACTTCCGTTTATTCACCACCAGAGGTCACCCTTTCCTTTACATTGACTCTCGCACAAAACAATACTGTTGCATAGCACCCCAGACTACATATCCCATCATTCATTGCACGGTTTGCACACTGCACTCACTGCACTGATTGCACTCATTGCACTCAGCTGTTTATTATCACCTTACTCGCTATATAACACCCACTCAAACTACCATTCTCTGCTGAGTATTGTTTAGCCCGTACCCCGTTCCTAGTCTCTGTGTTTTCCTTGTTTTGCCTTGCCTGTTTTCGCGGTTTCGGATCTTTGCCCGTTTTCCCTGGATTTATCCCTCTAGTCTCGCCCCTGTGATTCTGTCTGCCGATCGTCGACCTACGCTAGCCCTAGGACTATTCTTGTGTTTTGCCCACCATATACCTGTCTGCCATTATCTG